TAGTGGGGAGGTGAGAGAAGGAAGGTAGATGGGATAAACGGGGTCAAATACGTGGTGACAGAAAAATTTAACTATGGGAGGTGAACACCCAGTGTAAATATATGTATGCCTTACTGTTAAAATGTATGGCTGAAACTTATTGGATTTTGTTAATCAATGTCACCATAAAAAATAATTAATTAATTAATTAATTAATTAATTTGAAAAAGTAAAAGAAAGGTACCGATTTAGACCAAGGACAAGCTAAGCTATGCACCAGAGTGAGAGTTGCTGACGGTGTTGGAGTAGTGGTCAGTGTCCAGTTACAATGAAACACCATGATCCCCCTCAACATGATAGCCCATTTTACCTGCTCTTGTTCACTGCCGCCACTTTCAGGAAATTTACGAAGAAGAAAAAGTTTCCACATGTGGTCCGGGCTTTGCCTCTAACTCAGCAGTAATTACCCATCTCAGCCTCAGTTTCCTCAACTGTGAAATGAAGGCACTGAGCTAGCTGATCTCTACTTCCTCTTAACATCCCCTTCTTCTTAGTAAGGCAGACAGATGCTTAGAGACAAATATTGGAGAACAGACTCTATATAGTTTGTCAAATTACAGTGAAAGAACCTACTTGGTCCTGTTGAAGACATCAATTTATTTTTTCACTTTAATTTTACCCTCAGTTTGCCCCAGGCCAGGACAGCTCTCTGACTACCTACCCACCCCATCTCATGCCATGGTATGTTAGAAGGAACACAGAGTTAAGTCCTGGCTCTATAATTTACTGATTGAATGACCTCGAGCAAGCCTTTTACCCCACCTCCTACTCCTTTAAGACTACCTCTTCCAGTACAAACTGAGAATAATTGTCTCTTTGTTACAAGTTTGTTGCAAAGATGAGTGATATTTTGGCATGAAAAGCATCACATAGAAGGCCTAACATGTGGTAGACACATAATAAATGTTAACTGCATTTCCAGATGGTTCTCCATACACAGGACTGAGATTCAGGTCCAAGCTATATAAGCAAACATCCTGAGAAGTACCCCCCATCACACTTAATGCCCAGTCATCCTCTTAAATGCCTGCCTTCTGTTGCTTCTACCCACAAAAGCCAGCATTTCATTCACTTTTTTAGCATCATACTGACTCTTCATTCTTTCTCAACTTAACCTCCTTTAGCCTCTGTTTCTGTCTGAGGAATAGAGAGAGGACAGCCTTACTGACGAGATGTCATGTGCATCATCGGTACTTACAGAATGGGAGCAATCTTGATGCTGTCAGTATTATTCCTTTCCTGACACCATTTTATCTGACCCAACTTAATTGTTCTCCCATCTGCTTGTTCTCCTTTGGAATACCATGAATGAGTCTTCACTTGTTTCTACATTTAATACATCCAATAGTTTCTTGACTTCGGCCAAAGGACTGAACATCTTTTGAACCTCCTCTATGCTAGGTTCTTTCTAGGACCTTCTCAAACATTATCCAATAGCTATCAGGTAGCTGGCAGATAACTATTTTTATTAAATCCCTATCTTTTACCAAAGGATTTTTGTAGGTTGCATTGTCTCCCCAGGTTATTCTCAGTTTCTACATAAAGTATAATGGTGTTTGGGCTAAGTGGTCTTGAAGGGAGAGAAGCCACATGTCAGCATGGAAAAGGCACAGAGTTTAGAGACAGTGAGTTTTGCTAGAATCCTGGCTCTGGCTTTACCTGCTATGTGACCTTGAGCTGTTAGCTCACTTTTTATGCCTCAATTTCCTCACCATTAAAACAGGAATAAAAATACCTAGCTTGCAGGCCACATTCTTCCTGAGAAGAGAATTCCAAAGATGTGAGAATATTCTACCTTGGGGCCAAGGGTCAAAAAAATGTGCTGACATTTCTAACTTAAATTTTTTTACACACAGCCAATGAATGGGCTTGCTCTTTAAGAGTCTGATGTTAAAGTGTGTTTAACCTGCGGAGAAGCAGAGAGCAACTGGAACAAACTGTCTATAAACCAGTGACATGCACAAAGGATGCTGTTCTGCAACCAAGACCTTGAAACAGAAACTCAGGCTCCTTGAACCCCTGGGTCCCCATTATCTTTCCCCTGTCACTCCTGAGGGTAAAATGCTTTTTACCTGGGGAAAAATTGCCTGACTCTCAGGGCTAAGAACTAGAAACCCCATGTGAAGTCTCATCATTATCTGCTATGATAAGCCTGGCCTCTGTGACACTACTTGGTCCAAAAATATAAAATTCAGCTTTTGCCCTGTACCTTACAAAATACCATGATATTCATTCTCTCTTTAAGCCTCATGGTGACTCCGTGAGAAGTAAAGAATAGGGATCATTATTTCCATCTCACAAATGGGGAAACTATGACTCAGAAAGAGAATATGTGGGAGAAACTGAATCTCATTTATTCTTCAAAGTTTTCCCATGTGCATCAAAACCATAGCTAACCAGACCTCAACTAATCTGAGTCCTCAATTTACTGAAATGTTTTCTGGCCTTGATTCTCAGAAGAGAAAGGCAAATCATGAAGGCAAAGAATCTTATGCTGGGTTTAATTGAATTATATGGATATATGGATATAGATGGGCATGCACACACACACACACAAAACACACACACACACACACACACACGCACGCAAGCAGTAATTGATGGCATCTCTAAGATCAATGGAGTAATGCCAGTCAGAAACTTGGGAAAATTCCCTCAGCTCTTTCCTGACCCCTCTACATCTATCTGTTCCCAGGTTCCATTGCCACCACCTCCAAAGTACCTCTCACCCACACCCTCTCCAATTTCACTGCCACTGTCCAGTTCAGACACTGGCATCTCTCTCACCTGGGTTTCATCTCAGTCCTCCAGTTGGACCTTTGTCTAGCCCTTTCTCTGCACTGGACTTAAGAGCACTCTTTCTAAACCAAGAATCTGACTGGGCTACTCCTTCAATCCTTCAGTGGCTCCCCTGTCTACGGGGAAAAGTCTAAGAGAGTTTGATCAATACCTTGGCTTCACTCCTTAAAGCCAGATTCAGTTTTAGTCAGCAGCCTCCAAAGCAGGTCAGACACTTTAGAGTGATCTTCGTCTGCTACAAGGACTGAAACAGAAAGCATCACAGTGGCCCAAGATGCCATGTGCAGAGAGGGGATGTAGGAAGGAGACGGATCCCAGGCCACAAAGTTCGTCACAGAGTTGAGACTAGGACCCAGAACGTTAGGCCACAAACTGATCAGCTCCTTGGACTCTGGTTAGCTCCTTGTCTAAGCTCAAGGCAAGCCCAAGCTAACTTGGAAATTTCACAGGTCAAACACATCCCCACTGAGCCCCTCGGCTTCACCGTGCATAATTGTTTATTGTTTCCTATTGTAACCTCATTACTTAATACAGAGCTTGGCACATAGTAAGACCCAATAAACACTTACTCAGTGATCTATAGCCTGGGAGACACTGGGTAGCCTGAAAAGGAGAGAAAGGAAAGAGAATAGACATTTTATATCTGGAGGTCAAGAGTTCCCAGGAAAAATCAGGGCACAAATTGGTTGAGGGAGGAGGACTGGGAGAGTTGGTACTGAAGGTTATGAATCTTTCTGTCAATGCCTGTACTGACCAATAAATAATGATAATATAAAATATTATTTTAAATAATATAAAATTTTAACAATAATATATAATAATTAATATCATTATTTTAACAATATAATATATCGTTATAATAACTTACTATGTGCCAAACACTATGACATGTGCTTTACATGCATGATTTTATTTTATCCCCATAACTGGGGTGATTGTTGAAAGATTTAACAATAAATATAGGTACCCTCCAATCAGAACCTGTCATAGAAAACAGGAAAAGCTATACCAGAAGGCTTGCAAGCTGAACATGAGGCCTAAACCTAGCTACCCTATGAGGTGGGCATCATTTCTATACCCATTTTACAGATAAGGAAAGTGGTGACACGAGTTGGCCAGTGACACAGCTGTAGCCAGCTCCAGAGTGTGTGCTCATAACCATCAGGCGACACTGCCTCTCTGAGCATCTCTGACAAGAATGCGGTTGGACTGACCTGCCTGGAAACAGGTCCTCCATCTTCCCCCACCACCAACTCACTCACTTGTCTCTCATTTCCCACCATCTCCAGGATAGAAGGTGAAATTAAAGGGGGCAAGAGGAGCAGAAATCATGGCTAAAAAGTGGAGCGAGTGAAGTTGGGGCAGGCAGCTGACCAGGCCAAGGAGATGAGGGGAGGCAATAGTGCCAGGCTACCGGTGCTCCCAACGCACACAGTGACACAACCACATGCCAGCCCTCCCTGAGCCTGCATGGCCCCTCTTCCCTCCATTACCATGGTCTCCTTCTTCCCAGTGAGCCGCATAAGGTGAATGGGCATCCTGATGGGAGGTCAAAGACCAGGCAGGTGGTGCCAGGGCTAGCCCTTCCCCATGTCCCCATCTTGTCATGTCCAGCAGCTTCTGGAATCCTCAGTACTATCTGGGAAAAAGAGAGCGTGCTGGCTCTGGGGCACAAGGGTAACCAGGGTGTATCCTCCTCTGAGGGCTAGGCTCTGCTGGGGTAGATTGGGGAACCATGGGAGCCTGGAGGAATCTAGAGATGTGAGGAGACTGAAGATAGAGCAGGTGTAAAGAGGGGTCTGAAGTGGCAGTTCTCCATCTATGAGCAGCAAGAATGAACTAGGGCAGCAGTCCTCAACCTTTTTGGCATGAGGGACCAGTGTTCCTATGAGAATCTAATGCCTGATGATCCAAGATGGAGCTGAGGCAGTGATGCTAGCACTGGGAAGAGGCTGCAAATATAGATGAAGCTTCGCTCGCTTGCCCGCCACTCACCTCCTGCTGTGTGGCCCAGTTCCTAATAGGCCACGGGCCAGTACCAGTTCGCAGCCTGGGAACTGGGGACCCCTGGACTAGGGCACAGACTAGAGATCCAGACTTGGCAGAATAGAGACATAGAGGACCAGGAAAGATCAATGTACAGATGGACAGACAAGGAGACACAGAGGACCCTCAGGGGAGATGTTGGCCCTCACGGACCCCTGGTGTGTGGGCTGGGGCGGTTGCCACCTTCACTCACCCACTCTCTTGCCAGAACACACTTTGCATGGATGTCTGAAACGTGTAGCCTCCCTAAGCACCACAGGAAGACACTGCCTTTAGAGTAAGACCCTGCCCCAGCCCATGGCACCCCCAACCCTGGTTCTCCCCTCCCAGCCAAGGAAGATGATCACGGTCCTCCTTGGATCCTGTGTCTGGGAGGGGTCTGAGCCTGCCCTGGCCAGTGCTGTGCTGAAGATAGGGTGGGGCCTGAGCCCAGAGCAAGCAGATTCTGAGTCTTGCTCTGATACGCTCTGGGCTGCAGGTCCCTCCCTCTGCCCTCAGTGACTCCCCATAGTTCTGCTTTGGATAACTTCAGAGATTCAAGCCCTGAGGCTGGAGGTGATTTTACAGAATCCAGTCCCTATCAGAGGCTGAGCACACATCGTCTCTACAGGCTCTCTGGCAACGGATGCCCCAATTTCTCTTCACATATTCCCAGGGACAGGGGACTCACTACCTCCCAAGGCAGGTTAGGAGCCTGGACTCTGCCTTTCATAAAAGCCTTTCTTGTACTGAGCTAAAAGTAAGTACCGGTCCCTTCTGACATCAATAATGTGCTCTCTACAGCACCCTTCTGCCCCATATCTGTCCCTACTCCCTACTCCCTACCCCCTCTAACCACACTCATTCCTCTCTTCCAGAATCCCCAGTCTGCATTACAATGCAGTATGCCTTACCTTTCCTTATGAGGATGTATGTGGGGCTGCCTGAGTCACAGGCCCTCCTCTTGATAAGCCCTTATACCCTGATCCCGCCCATTTTCCCCCAGCTGGATGCCTGCCCCCGCCCAACATCTCCATAGCAGCCCCAGCAGACACTTCCCACTTCTGCCCTTCCCCTCAGCAGCTGAGGGCTCCAAAGAGCAATCTCTGGAATAGCGACTGGGTACACAGGAGACCCAGGGATTTTTGATTAAACTTGGTCACTGTGACCTGGCCAAGTCCCTTAGCTTCCTAGAGGCTCAACTTCCTCTCTGTGAAATGGAGCTGTGTTCCATCATAATATAATACTTGTCATTGGGCTTTCTTTTTTTCTGAGTAGTCATTATAGGCCAGACATTCGATGCATACTAAATCCTTATAGCATTATCATTTCTACTTCACAGATACAGAAATGGAAGCTCAGAGCCCTAAGTAGCTTATACGAAGCTAGGATCCTGAAGGCGGTTTGGTCTGGCCACACAGGCTGTGTTTGCCCCAGTGTAATGGTCCAGTGCAAGCCAGACCAGAGGCAAGAAGCCATGAGGCCTTGTGGCTGGAAAAGACAGAGTCACATATGGAGGGGAGGTGGTTGGCTAACACATCTAGATCCAAGAGCAGCAACTTTTGAGGGCAGTGGGCTCTTCTGGGGCTTCTGCTGGACACACATTATTCTAGGGATAGGGAAGGAAAAGGGAAAGGGACCAACATTTATTGAACGTTTCAGTGTGCCTGGCATAGACATCATTACTTTTAAATCTCAAACAACTCTGAAAGAAGCACATTATTTCTGCTTAGATGAAGACACTGACGTTCAGAGAGGTGAAATGACTTGTCCAAAGTCAAACAGCTATTCGAGGCAGCTGAGATCTCCATCTAGGTCTGCCTGGTTGCAAAGTGCCCACAACGCACTTTGCTAGCGGGCGAGAGGTGGTGGCAAGCCCCTTCCTCAGCTTTCTCTGATCCTCCAAGTAGGCTTCAGCCTTTCTTGGCGTCTTAAGTTCTTCCTGAGGCTTCTATCTGAGCTTCGAAGTGGTAGAGGCTGAGAGAGAAATAGAGAATCCTGATTCTCTGTCTGAAGGCCATTCCACTGTAGATCCCTTGATACCCAGGAAAATCCCTGACTGAATATTCTCTGTTTTCTGAGCAAAGTAATCCATGTTTATCAATAAAAATTCATAAGATAGAAAAGTAGGAAGAAGAAAATAATTACCCTCTAGTTTCTTCCATACGACAAAGAAAATTTCAGTTATGTTTCTATCTTTCTTCTATACCTAAATGAAAATGGCTTTTTTTTTCTCACTTCATTGATATCACACAATTTTATTATGGCAGGTACTACTTGGGTGATTATCTATTTCTCCCTTCTTTATCGATAAACCATGTTCTTACCGACATTTGTTTGGGGTACTCAATATGTCATGAATGATCCAAACCCAAATGACGCTTTCATTTCTCCTTTTCCCAAAATCTCATTCAGCAAGAGCAGTCATGTGACCTAGTCCTGTCCTGTGAGTTGCAAAGAGTTTTTTGTGAAAATATTTATTTTTCTAACAAAATAGATAGAGTGACTGTGATACAACCCCTTCTCCCAAGTCTCCTTTCTCTCACCATGAATACAGATGTCATGCCTGGAATTGGGCAAGCCATCTTGAGACAACAAGAAAGAGGCTCAGAGAATGACAGGGGTTCTCTCATTAACGTTATCCAGCTGTGAGCTAATACAAGTAGCTGCTTACCTCGAGACTGCTTGTCCTATAAAATAAATTAATTCCTGTATAGCTAACACACTTTTAGCTGGATTTTCTGTTTTGTGCAGGAAAATCCTAACAGATTAAGTAGTCCACATTTTTCAAAACTTAATATTATATGATAAGCACTTTCAGCCTCCAGAACCATGGAAATAAATTTTTGTTGTTTAAACCACCCGGTCTATAGTATTCGGTTACAGCAGCCTGTGCTGACAGAGGCCAAGTTGGCTACAGTTCACAGAGCAAAGCACGAGAGCACACAGAGAGAGAGCCCTGGAAGTCTGCAGGAGGTCCACTCAAGTCTTCAGATGAGTACTGATCAGCGCATGTGTGTGAGGGAACCACAAGAGGATGGGCGAGATATTAAAAGGATAATAAACGAATATTATGAACAACTTTATTCAAATAAATTAGATAACTGAGATAAAATAGACAAACTTATTAAAGGACGTTAATGACCAAAGCTCATTCAAAAAGAAAGAGGTAACCTGAATAGCGATATATCTATTTTGACACTGAATGTGGAGTTAAAACCTTTTCAAAAGAAAACTCCAGACCCAGATGGATTCGCTTGTGAATTCTACCAATTCTTTAAGGAAGAGATATTTCTAAGTCTGAGCTAACTCTTTTAGAAGGTGAAAATAGTTCCCAAGTCATTCTGGGAGGCCAGCATCACTCTGATGTGGAAACCAAAGATATTACCAAAAAAAAAAAAAAAAAAAAGGAAACTACAGACCCTTATCCCTCATGAACACAGAGGCAAAAATTCTTAATAAAATTGTAACAAAATAAATCCAACGATATGGATATTACATATACTAACCTTCTATACATACATAAAAGCTTAATAAACCATGGCCAAGCGTTAAGTGAAGGGAAACTAAGCTGAGAAGTGAGAAGTATGCTGGAATGGAAGTAGGCTTCAGAGGGGTACAGGTCGGGCTCTTGCCCCATCTGGACCACTTCCCAGCTGTGTGACCTCAGAGAACTGGTGATGATAATGATCGTAACTATGATTTCTCCCATATCTTAAGCACATACTATGTTAAATACTTCATCTCACTTAATCCTCAGAACAATCATGTGAAGTTCACATAACTAACCAAATTGCTACCACACAGGTACTGTCCCCTCCCACTTGCTTGAGATGTGTGTGACCTGGGCAGGAGCCTTCCACTGTGGATCCAGGCATCTGAGCTCCTGCCCCTGCTACAGGGTGTCTTGGCCCTCCACTGGAGAAGAACTATGCTGACCCTTAATTCTGCTCACTTATTGCTGTCAAGACAGGACCTGCCACTGACTGAGCTCTTTCTGGATATCGGAACAAGAGCTAAGCACCTTACACACACCTTCTTAACCCTCATAGCATTGTTTTCTGTTCTAAATACGGTGAAAATGAGGCTCAGAAGGGGAAAGCGATTCTCCATATGGCAATGTCGCATGGTGAGGAAGTAGTGGAGTCAGCATTCAGCCTCCAATCTGTGTGGCTTTTTTTCCCTGTGTTGCACAACAAACACCGTCTCTGT